AAGATACATTTTATAAAAGACCCTGAATAGCCTCAGAACTCTTGAGAAAGAAGAACAAAGTGGTAGGTGTCACAATATCTGGTATCAAACTAAACTACAGGCCATTGTAATAAAATAGCCTGGTACTGGTATAACAATAGGCATATACATTAATGGACCAGAACAGAGAGCCCCAAAATAAACCCACACCTTTATGGTCAATTACTATTTGACAAAGGAGGCAATAGCACACAATGGAGTAAAGACAGACTCTTCAATAAATGGTGTTGGGAAAATTGGACAGGTACATGAAAAGAAAAAAAGAAACTAGACCACCAACTTACACCATACACAAGAATAAACTCAAAATGGATAAAAGGCTTAACTGTAAGTTGTGAACCATAAAAATCCTAGAAGAAAACATAGGCAGTAAAATCTCAGACATCTTACATAGCAGAACTTTCACAGATACATCTCTTAGGGCAAGAGAAACAAAGGAGAAAATGAACAAGTGGGGCTACATCAAGATAAAAAGCTTCTGCACAGCAAAAGAAACCATCAAACTAAATGAAAAGGGAACCCATTGAATGGAGAACATATTTGCCAACAATACATCAGATAAAGAGTTAATATCCAAAATATATAAAGAACTTATACAACTCAACACCAGGAAGACAAACCATCCAATTAAAAATGGGCAAAAGGGACATTAAAGATGGCAGCGGACTGAGTGGAAGCTACACTAACATTCTCCTAGAACCAAACTGGAATTACAACTAAAATATAGAAAAACCATCCTGAATAATCAACTGCAATGGAAGACGAGCTGGAGAGCACCCTCATAGCCAAGGGGGAAAAGTGGAGACCACATAGAGACGGGTAGGAAGTGCAGAGGCATGAGAGGGCTGGCTGGGCCCCCACAGGCAGCAGCTGAAGGTCCCGAGGGCTATCTCAGCTGTGGGGGGTTTCCACTGAAGACTCTGGGGCCTAAATCCCACACTAGGCTTCCCAGCCAAGAGCACCAGAACTAAGAAAGGTGCCCACATAACAACTGGCTGTGAAAAGCAGCAGGGTTTCTGTCAGCCAGGGAGAGATGGCTGAAAATGCAGGCACCCTCTTAAAGAGCCAACCCACAAAGTTTCGTGTGCAGTCACTCACCTTGGGCTCCAGCAGAAGGAGGGCAGAGTGGACTGCAGCTGTGTGAGGGGAATCTAGCGTTGTGGGCTCTGGAGCTAGAGCTCAAAGGGCACCCCTCTGGATTCCTGTCATTCCCCCATACTGGAGAGGACATCTTTCTCAGGCAATTTGCTGCTTTTGCCTGAGGGGAAGCAATTGCTCCACCCTGCTGGAAAACCTCTCATCCCTACCCAGAGGAGTTTCTATAGCCTGAGGCTCATTAAGAGACTGATAACAATCAGCCACCCCACCTTGTGGAGCTTCTACAGCCTGAGGCTCAGTAAGAGAATCAGATTAATCAGTCTGCAGCCAGAGGCAGACTTCAGAGTGCCTTGAGTCTTTGCCTGATCTGCTTCTGGACCCAGGTTTTGGAAAAGCAGACTTTGGTGTGCATCTTGGTCCTGTCCAACCGCACCCAGCCCCAGCAGAGGAAACCTCAAGCCGTGAGTTGTTGATAGCTCCAAACAGGATACTCAGGGCCAGCCACAAACAGCGTCTGACATTGGCCTGGGCCAGAAACCCGCCAAAAACACTGGGAGTCCTAACAGATGTACCTAATACACAGAAACAAACTAAAACAGGCAGCCAAAATGGGGAGACAAAAAAACAAGCCCCAAATGAAAGAACAAGAGGAGTTTCCAGAAAAAGAACTGAATGAAATAGAGATAAGCAATCTCTCAGATACAGAGTTTAGAATACTGATTGTTAGGATGCTCAACAGCATGAAAAAAGATATGGAAACTATGAAGAAAATTAGGAATGACATAGAAATAAAGAATACATTGGAAGGAATAAACAGTAGATTAGAGGAAACTGAGGACTGGATCAGTGATTTAGAAGACAGGGTAAAAAAAAATCACTGAATCAGAGATCCAAAAAGAAAAAACAATTAAAAAACAGGAGGACAATTTAAGGGAGCTGTGGGA